TAATAGATTGCTCATATCTCTTTGCATTAATAATTATGAAACTACACAAAGGATAGTGTGAGCTGTTTCTGAGGGCAGTAATACCGACAATGCTCTTACCTCTGATCTGATTGAGAAAAAAAGTAGAGTAATGAAACAAAATAAGGTTAATTTTTGTTAGCTTATGTGAAGTAAGTAACGATGATAGGGGATTAAGTGATTAGATTAATTATGATTGTGTTGGAAGCATTTCGAATGCGTGGTATGGTGTAGGTGAAGCTACTGACCATTCTAATGAAGTTGCTACTTGTGATCCGTTGCTGTATTCTTGTGTACTAGTAAAGAATTGAGGCATTGCCCAAGGGTTAGCTGCTGCAACTGGTTGGTTAACAAGCATATCATATACTACATATAGGAAAATTGCAGTTGCTACAACTGAGATAATTGATCCTACACTTGAGATGTAGTTCCATCCTTCGAAGGCATCAGCGTAATCTGGGATACGCCGTGGCATTCCTGCCAGTCCTAGGAAGTGTTGCAATGTATTATAGTATCATGAAGTTAGATAATACGTCAATGATTTTCACCATTGTTTAGACCATATGATCATATAATAATATATGGAGAGTTTGTGGTCGTTGAAGCTTAATATTAATTCAATATGTTTGCTTACTGATTATAGTAATAAGTAATACTATGTTTCAGTAGTTAGCTCTCTTTGCTTTCCCCCAATACAAGGGAAGAATGTTGTGTTTACTCCTACGAATAGTGTCCAGAAGTGAACTTGTCCAAGTGTTTCTGAGTACATTTTTCCGGTGATTTTTGGTGCCCAGTAGTAGAATCCTGCGTAAATTGAGAATACTGCTCCCATAGATAGTACATAGTGGAAGTGTGCTACAACATAGTATGTGTCGTGCATAGCAATATCCATAGAAGCGTTAGCAAGAACTACTCCTGTCAGTCCTCCAATCGTAAACAGGGCTACGAACCCTAATGCGAATAGCATAGGTGTAGAGTATCGTACTGAACCACCGTAACAAGTGGCTAACCATGAGAATACTTTAATTCCGGTTGGAACTGCAATAATCATAGAAGCTGCTGTGAAGTAGGCTCGAGTATCAACATCAAGACCTACAGCATACATGTGGTGACTCCATACGATGAATCCTAGAATACCAATTGAAGCAATAGCGTATACCATCCCTAGGTAACCGAAGATAGGTTTGCTTGCGAATGTTGGAATAATTTGGTTAATCATACCGAAACCAGGGATAATCATTAGGTATACTTCAGGGTGACCGAAGAACCAGAAGAGGTGTTGATACAGTACAGGATCTCCTCCACCGGCAGGATCGAAGAATGAAGTGTTGAAGTTACGATCTGTCAGCACCATTGTAAGTGCACCTGCTAGTACTGGAATAGCTAGAATAACAATAACTGATTGCATTAACATGGCCCACACGAATAGAGGCATTTTGTGTAATGTCATACCCGGTGCTCGCATGTTAAGGATGGTAGTAATGATATTCATGGCCCCCAGCATAGATGAAATCCCTGTAAGGTGAAGTCCGAAGATCGCTAGATCAACAGCACCACCTGAATGAGCTTGTACACTTGCTAGAGGAGGGTATAATGTCCAACCTACTCCAGGACCTTGTTCTACGAAAGCACTAGATAGGAATAAGATAATTGCAGGAATTAGTACCCAGAATGAAATGTTGTTTAACCGTGGGAATGCCATGTCCGGTGCCCCGATAAGTACGGGTACCATATAATTAGCAAAACCTGCCATCGCTGGTCAATTGTGTTATTGTTGCTTTCTCTTGTTAGGTGTGCTAACATTGCAACTTCAATAGCATTAACTATTGTTCAGACTATATCTTTACTATTGCTATAGTATGGAATTTCTTGTTATTATAAAAATAGTCGTTTAACGAATCTCATCAGGTTTTCTGACGTATCGCTACTAGTTACCATGTAAAAAGGTTTTCTAGTAATTTAATCCATTAGGTTGCATCATGCGACAACCATGAATAGAATCATAATTAATCCATGAGCAGTAATTACAACGTTATATAGTTGGTAATCACCTGCTAGGATTTGACTACCAGGAGCTGATAGTTCTAGACGGATAAGAACTGAGAAAGCTGTACCTAATAGACCTGTGAATACAGCATAAATTAAGTAAAGAGTCCCAATATCTTTAGCGTTAGTTGAGAATAACCATCGAATCATAGTATTCATCGTGATTATTTATAACTTTATCTCATTGACCTTTTGTTACTAGAGCTATATTAAGCAAGAGTAACACAATATTGGCAGTAGTGTTGTTTTAAGACATAACCGCAAGACGTAAGCCAAATACTTGGACATTACATGTTACTTTTATTATTGTTTAATACTACATTAAAATAAAAGAGTGTGCTAGTGCATTCTCACTAACAGATTATTAATCTCTTCACGTTTTGTCTCTGTGTAAATCTAGATGGAAAGTATAAACAAAACAATATGGCTATATTATTATATTAACACAATGCTTACTGCTCTATTATTAATTCCTCTTGTTGGTGTATTTGCTCTTCTTCCAATGGCCGAAGGCACAGCAACAGGAGACTCACGAATGAAACGAATTGCTCTATTTACATCAATGGTAAACTTCTTCGTGTCAATTGTACTATGGGGAGAATTCGATAGCAGTGCTACACAATACCAATTTGTGCAAGAGTTTAACAACTTAAGCTTCTGTCATTTCCACATCGGAATTGATGGTATTTCACTATACTTTGTACTGCTAACAACATTCATTACTCCTATTTGTATTCTTAGCAACTGGAGCAACATTAACAATGGAATCAAATACTTCCTAATTGCTTTCTTAGTTCTAGAAACACTATTAATTGCTGTGTTCGTGGTATTAGATCTAATGCTATTCTACATCTTCTTCGAAAGTGTTCTTGTTCCTCTATTCCTAATTGTTGGTATTTGGGGAGGTAGCGAAACTCGAGTACGAGCTTCATTCTTACTATTCCTATATACTCTAGCAGGTTCATTATTCATGCTTCTGGCAATTATGGTGATCTACTACAATGTTGGATCAACAGACTTTACAATGTTATCACTATCAAGTATTAGTTTAGAAAGTCAAAAAATCCTATGGTTAGCTTTCTTCCTAAGTTTCGCAGTTAAAACTCCACTAGTTCCATTCCACATGTGGTTACCTCGAGCTCACGCTGAAGCTCCATTAGCTGGATCAATTCTACTGGCTGGTTTAATTCTAAAACTAGCTACATATGGTTACTTACGAATTCTTATTAACTTTATGCCGGATGCTACATCATACTTCTCACCATTAGTCCAAACAATTGCCGTAGTAACTCTAATCTATTCATCTCTGGCAACCATCCGCCAAACGGACTTCAAGGCCATGGTGGCCTACTCATCAATCGGTCATATGGCTGTAGTTGTATTAGGTTTATTCTCTAACACAATTATTGGTATTGAAGGAGCAATTGCCTTATCAGTAGCTCACGGAGTGATTTCACCAGCAATGTTCGTATTAGTAGGTGGAGTTCTTTACGATCGATTCCATACTCGGGTAATCCGATACTACCGAGGTGTAACTGTTTACATGCCTGTATTCTCTGCACTATTCTTCCTAACTACTGCATTCAACATGGCCGTTCCGCTATCACTGAATTGGATCGGTGAGTTCATGAGTCTAGCCGGCATCTTCCAACGAAGTCCTCTAATTGGTGTTCTTGGAGCATCAAGTATCGTACTTTCAGCTTGTTACAGTATCTATCTATTCAACCGAATTAGCTACGGAAGCTATTCACGATACCTGTCATATACTACAGATATTAACCGTCGAGAATTCATGATTATGCTACCACTTCTACTAGTTGCAGTAGTATTTGGTATTATGCCTAACATTATTCTTGGTGACATTCATGTAGCTGTATCACAATTACTATACACATCATAATTATCATATATCCTTAATCCCCTTTTTACCCATTACTATATTATTATTAAAAGAGACTAATGATAGCTATGCAATATAGGTTAGTTTCTATATTATTGTTAGAGATAAGTACTATTGTTTATTACGGAAGAGAGGAGATTCGAACTCCTAAGGGTTTATCACCCGCTCAGTTAGCAACCGAGACCGCCTCGCCTTAGCATGTGCTCTTCCTTGGATTATTAATTTTATTATATTTCATCTCTATATTTCTATCATGTTTCACTAGTCTACTAAATAATAGGAGCAATTGGGATCGAACCAATAACTTAGAAGTTAAAAGCTTCTCACTCTACCAATTGAGTTATACTCCCTTCTACTTATTTGATATATAGACAACAATAATCTGGGTTAGGAAGATTCGAACTCCCAATTAATGCCACCAAAAAGCACTGGGTTGCCAATTACCCTATAACCCATTAGAATTACAATGTAGTGTTAATTTCTTGATTTAGTTATTTGCCTCCAGAAAGAATCGAACTTCCGTATGTAATTTACAAGATTACCGTAATAGCCATTATACGATAGAGGCTCTTGTTACAAGTTATGTTATACTAGTATTATAAACAATATGCATTTATCACTATTCAGCTCCTAGGGGATTCGAACCCCTTTTATCTGCGTGAAGGGCAGAAGTATTACCTATATACGAAGGAACCTTTATTATTAGGGAATCATTGATCCTATTCTTTTAGCACTATGTATAGGCTAATGTAAACGAGAGAGATACTTTGTCATGGAATATTATCTCTCTAAATATATGCGAAGCAAGGAGTCGAACCTCGGACAACAGTTCATGAGACTGTTATGTTACCGTTACACTACTTCGCAGTTCCTTTTACTATCTATCACTAATAATATAGCTTTTTAAGGGGATTATGATGTGACAATAGCCGACTATTGAAGGGCTACTTGGCTAATCCATACTTTGATTGTGAAAGCACCTTTTTGGTTTTTAGTTGAAAATGCTGCATATATAGGATGGAGACGTCTCCTGAAGGATAAGGTGAGACAGCAGGACTTGACATGCCTCCAAACGGTGGCATAGGGCTGACATATGACATCGCCGTTCCTCCAATCGGCGGCACCATAGGCCTACCTTTGCTCTTGCCGAAAGGGCCCATCGTGCTGATCCCTAACCTTGGTTGTGTTTCGTGAAGGAAGAAGACAAGATTATGTGTGGAGATGATCCCCCTTTCCGAAGCTATTTGATTCGTGATCGTCGGTGGATCTGATATTCAGTTATATAACCGTCGCCTTTTGCTGTCGATGGAAAAAAGGCGCTCGCAAGTTTGTGAAAGGAGGTACGTTCTTGCCACAGTCTTGTTTCAGGAACACTACAGTGGCGGGTGTAGAGCAGACGGCACTGGATGGATCGGATCGGATGGGCTGGTGGCACTGCGCATTCCTATGATTGGATAATGGATCCCAAGCAAGAATCCTAAAGGTCACTTGGAAGAAGCATACGTCTTGGACTCGATTGCAGGTATTGTCGACCCGAAAGCATCGCCTTTCTTATCCCCCCGAGGAAGTGTCGAATCTGTGAGATCATATTAGGCTGTGCGATCTTGTGTCGCTGTTGATAATAGACATACGCAATCCAGGGGTAAATTTGCTCCCTTTCAGTCGTCCCTTTCTCGTACCCTTTGATATAAATTTTTGTGAAATCGAACCGCATGTGTAGCAAGTCGATGCAGCTGGACTACAAGGTCGAGTAAAGTCGATCCAGGTCTTTATCGGCCTGAATCAGGGGATCAGGCGGGAATAAGGAGCGAATTCTTCATTGCTAGAAAGATGTGTTTGTCCCACGTATCGGGCACTCACTCCTCCTTTGTCTCGCCCCTCAATGTCCCCTAGACATTGAGGAGACGATATGGTTGAACAGTCTCTCGTGAAGCTGATCCAAATACCGCTGGTACTAACCGTTCGTATCCAGCCCAAAGCAAAGAGACGCAGTCGACCCTTGACTGATTAAATTCATCCTTCCCCTTCCCGACTAGATCTTCAGACCACACTCCACCATATCTCCCGGCTCCTACCTCACTCCCTTGAAATCCATACCATGCAATATCCCAATCCCTGGCAGTCCTATGGCTATCCCTTTCACGCCCAATATGCTGCTGCAAATCCTTATCATGTGAGTCAGTACTACGGTCATGCACAGTCTTCGTCGCACCCACATTCAGCGACGCGTTCGCTGAACGCCGCAAGGAAAGGTACTTCGAGCTTGATGCAGTCTGAGTGGGGTGCACAGTTTGGCCCAACGCTCGTGTTTATGGTCGTCTCTGCCGGTATCTTGTGGTTCAAAATATACGGCGAAAAGCTCGTTGGTGACAAGGCGCAAGCGTGAGTCTTCTGTCAGCAGAGATTACGAGAATGGCTGGGTGGCTCAATGACTTTCTGACGTTTCTTCTGAAGAGAGTTGTTGCAGACCGGGATCGTGGCGGCCGCTGTGATTATGATTGTGAGCGTTGGTGAGCACATTTTCACTAACCATTGCAGTGAATCACTGATTAGCGAACACGATATCTGAAGCCGTGAACATACTCGGCATGTCCTCGGGAATAACGGCATCAGATATGATTTGGATACATATGGCTTTGGTACTTATTACGTAAGTCAAAGCATGTATATGGGAGGTTGATGACAACGGAAGCTCGCTGACCCTGATCCAAACTTTCCGGTCAATCCTGTTAGTTGCGTCTTGATGTGGAACCACGTGGCACATACGGTTGCCATTCACACCAAACCACCGCCGGAGGACGACAAGAAGTCGTCCGGCAGCCGTTCCTCTAGCTCGAAGTCGTCATCTTCGTCCAGTAGCTCGAGACCTAAGTCATCCTCATCGAGTTCAAGAGACCCCACCTCTTCCTCTTCCCGAAGTTCCGGCTCCTCGAGCAGCAGTCGACCTCCAGCTACCTCCTCGAGTAGTAGCACCAGTAGCCGTACCCCTTCATCTTCTTCGTCCAGCAGTCGCACAGCGTCGTCGTCTTCTAGAGCTGTTGAGCCGAGTGGTGGTGGGTCCAAATCCGCATCCTCCTCTGGCAGCTCCTCCTCCAGACCAACTTCAAGCAGCAGCAGCAGTAGCAGCAGCTCATCCCGATCTGCTGGAGCTTCTGGCAGCTCGTCCTCGCGAAGTTCTTCTTCTAAAGAGAAAGAAAAGCCAGAGGAGGAAGAGGAAAACCCTGATCCATGGGGAAAAGCGCATCCGTCCTCGAAGCTGACCAAAGACACCCCACGAATCTGGCCTTTCCCCATTGGTCTTGCGAGTGTTGCGTCAAAGAAAGAAGATGGTATGCAACGATTATGGTGGGAAAGTGGCATGCCGCATGAGGTTGGGTATATATCTCGCGGTGAAGGCCAAAACGTGAGCAGAATGCCCGAGTCCGGCGAATCGCCCAGCAGTGGAGGTTCCAAAGACAACTCGTCTTCGTCCTCTAGTTCATCCATTCCTAAACCAACTGCCGAAGAACGCGCCGAATTGAAAGCCATAATGAAAGGCGACAAGCAGCTTTCCGAAGATAAAAGCAAGCGAGCCAGGCAGAAAGAACTGATGAAAATGATGATGGCGAAGAATTCAGCCAGCACCGGTGAAGGCGGCTCGTCGAGTCGCCCTGCACCAGCAAATATCACGAGTCTTTCCTCGCCATCCGATTCGTCTGGTACGCCCCAACCGACAACAGAAGAATTGTCCGAATTGAAAGCGATCATGAAAGGCGAAAAGCAATTTTCGGAGGATAAGACCAAACAAGCGAGACAGAAAGAGCTGATGCAACTGATGATGGCGAAACAGGCAAGTAAGACGAGTGGCGGCCAACCTCCCGCCAACGCCGCGACTTCGAAGAAGGGAGTCCGGTTCGATGACGAGGATGCTTCGGCGGCACCAGCGCCAAAGTCTCGTTCTTCCAGTCCATCTGCAGCAACACCAACTGCAGCCTCCGACCCAAAATTATCCTCGAGTCGTTCTAGATCTTCGTCTCGTGCGGCAGACCCGACAGGAGCCGAAGGGAGCTCTTCTTCCTCTTCAAGACGAGATCCATCGGGTGGTTCAAGCTCATCTCCAGACCCCAGAGCGAGCGCTGCTGCGTCTTTGGCAAATGACGAGTAAATCGGCTCTGCGTTCCTTTGCTGTGCAACTATTATCTGCTTGTTCTTAAAATTACTGAGTATGTGAATCGCTTGTTTGTGTAGTAGGCTAGCGAGAAAACGAAAGATGATCAAGTATATGAAGATGATGACTGTCGTTGCAGCCGTGACCATTCGTAAGCTTGACCTCTGACCAGCACAGGAAAGCCAAAGAAAGCCTGTGACTTATATCGAATTGTTGCTCAGTAAACTACACCATCGGATTTCTCGCCTTGCTTGGATTCCTTTTGTTTATGATGGAAGAATACACTAATATTGATGCGCCAGATGATTCGAGTTCCACGGCAAAACCAACTGCGGAGCCGAAATCGTCGTCTTCGTCGTCCTCGAAACCATCTGCCAGTTCCTCTTCATCAAGCAAGCCTTCATCCTCGTCATCTTCAAGCAAACCACCATCTTCCTCTTCTTCAAGGCCGTCTTCCTCCTCGTCTAGTAGTCGACCGGGCTCGTCGTCGACTTCATCATCCGGCGGATCCTCTAATCGCAGAACGATAACCGAAGAGGAAAAAGCTGCTCTTCCTACATCCACAAGAAAGAAGGAAAAGGCATCCGAGATCAAACCCTTACCGGCAGGTCGTTGTTCTGGAAGACGCCGTTCGTTTGCTGATAATGATTACTTTATTCTCTGCAGCCGATTTCAATGATGTATCTTGCGCAGCCGGATGTGAAAGTACCAGGGACGTGGAAAGGTCCGGAATTTAGGATGGCGGTACAGGGTAGTACGACACCGTTGATGAGCTCCGTGTATGGGCCATAGCAATGTTTCAGCATCTGAGATCTCAGTGCCCAGCTTTCTCCAATATGATTTACGATGGGCAAGTAGACCACAGATACCAAGTAGCTGACCGGTCCGGTGATATGAGCTAGAGGGAGTGGGAGGAAATAGTGGTCAAATGAGCCCGCGCGTGAATTAGCACATTCTCAGCTAGTCTTGCTTCTGGCAATGTTTGCTGTATATGTCGTCGCCTTCTATGGCTTGCGAGTCATGAGTTGCCATGCTGCACAACTAGAGGCTGCACACAAGCGATACGACGACTAGCAGCAAACCGCACATGCGCTCGCGATTACGGATATTACCCAAAATAAAGGCATGAAAGGGAAGCCTCAGCCTCATGGAGTGATATTTCAGACACGCTCAGACAGGATTAACCAACGTAGTACATTCGTATCTCATACTGCCCATGATTCTCGATGATTTCGTGTTCACAGGTCTTGGAGTATGCTTGACAATAGGGGATTCGATGAAACACTAGTCTGAGCCAAGATCGTGAACAAAGACCCCTTTGACGCTCGACGTTGCCTTTTGTTGGACCATGTTTCGCTGAGAAAGGGTTAGAGGAAGCTAAGATGCGATATCCAACAGCTCCTCGTACGTGAAACAAGAGA